CGCCGCCCCCCCACGGCCCGGGCCGGGGGGGGGGGGCGGTGCAGGGCCCACGGGAGCCTCCCGAGCACACGTGCTCCGGCCTGCGAGCTTAGCTAGGGGGCGGCTACTCCCTCCCTGGGTGCAGTGTGAGCAGCGACCTGCTGGGGCACCGCTCGCCCTCCAGCCGCGTGGGGGGGGCTGCTGCTGGTTTCCCTCGAGCTTCTCATAGGGGGGCCGCGTCTTGTGAGAGGGGAGCCTCTGCCCAAAGCCTCGTGCCTGTGCCTTGCCCCGGGCTTCATGGAGCTGAGTGGAAGCTGGGAGGGTGTGGGAAACTGCAGGTCGCTAGGGATTTTGTGGAGTAATGTGGAAGAAAGCTTGCCCGGTTCTGGTTACTGCTTTACCTTGAAAGGCAGACAAGTAGGGACTTGGAGGAGGAGATGCTGTTTGATCATCTCTGAATAGACAAATGCCGTAAATGTCTGTAGCAGTGCAGAGTATCCTCAGTGCTGTGAAGAAGCCTTGTCCCTTTCCTTTTTAGGTGGTAAATGCTACAAAGAGTTGGAAGTTAGGGTGGTCGGGGAGGGGAGGTGCATATTACTTCTGCTATCCTGTTTCCTTTCAGTTTAAATTTGTTGCTTTTTTGCAAATATTTTTGTGTCCCAAGTGATACAAGGTGGGGGGGTCTTAAAGAACTAGACTAGCAGCAGGGCTAGCAGAACTTGACTTGTGTCAGCTCAGGAAAAGGCTATGTTCAGGGTGTGGCATGGTGGGGAAGAGTGCAGATGGTCCCCAGGAGAATCGAATTAATGCATCAGGGCTGGCTCAGGAGTGGCGGTGGGAGCTTCTGATCTGGAAAACTAACCACTTAGAGGTCCTTAGTTCACTGGCTTTGAAGTCTTCCCAAAAAAATACGGAGCGAGGAAACTAAGCTGCTAAAGGCTGTCTGAATTGCTAGTAGGATTTTGCAGTCTTTCTCTTAATCTTCATGGTGTATTTGAGTGACATCTTTCAGACTTGATGCATTTGTCACACCACCATAGGATGTCTATCAAGTGAGCAACAGTCTTTCAAGGTAGTTCTTTGCCTTCTGTATGGTGGAAAAGTCCATACACCATTCTCTCTTAGTGACTTGGAACTAAGTACAGTTTTCAGATGTGCCTAATGACTCATGGACTCTCGGTTGTAGGTAATTTAGCATTTCTGAAAGCTGAACCTGTTTGCTAGTGAAGTCACAGTGAATGTTTAAAAGTAGATTCTGAAACTTTCTTCATTTAATAAATCAAGTTTCAAGTAGCTTATTTTTAGTGTGTGTGTGTGTGTGTGTGTGTGTGTGTGTGTGTGTGTGTGTGTGTGTGTGTGTGTACATGCAATTGGAGTACATAATTTAATTCTGTGCAGGATTTTAAAATTCAAACTAAATTTTGCTACTAAAACTTAGTAGGGGGTAGCTGGAAACTGAAGTTCCTCTTGGTTTGTACTGAGATATACTGGGTCTTCCTGGTCAACACTAGTAGACCAAGCTAACATGCACAGTTGAAAATTCCTATGACATGTACTCTGTAGAAGTTCAGTTTCTAAATACCTGTTAAATAAAATCTCAATGATAATTGAAGTAGCTTTTAAATAACTTTCACGGGACCAAGTGCACACGTAACAATAAAGGTTTATATTGCAGTTAAATTGTTTTGTACATATTTTTTTTCTCTTCATAACTAGTACTGGAAAATTACTTTCACTATATCCTAGAAATACTTCTAGGTACTACATGTGCACAAGTTTGTTTCCAAATCTAAATGAAGTCAGTCTTTGGTTTGGATGTTGACAATTTCTCTGAGGGATAGCTTGGCACCAGATTTTCTTTACTTTAGCCTCTTGATTTTGGAGTCAGACTAAAGTACTGTAAAAATACAATTTGAAGTAATTAAGAGTGTTTTTTATATTGAAAGAACAACTTGAATATTAAACTAAAGCAATCTAAACTTCCTTACATGAACTAAGAATTGCTGACATATGAAGCATCACAACAGTGCATGTATAGATAGATACTGGCTTTGTTTAAATAGCATCAGAGGTCCCACTTGTTTAGGCCATGTATATTTTGATACTGTGTGGTAGATCCATGAGTGCATAACTGTTCTAAAATCTAAGCTTTAAGTTTTGGGGTTTAAGTTGATATGCCACATTATTGTGAAACATTAACTGAGGTAGTATTTCCTTCCTAAGGCTGCAAATATAGCTTTAACTTGAGTTGCGAAATAACGAATTCTATATCAGTTTTGTTTTAACTCCAAATATAAAGACGTGCTATATCATGAACATTTAACTACTGCAGATCACTTCATCAAATGTTCATGGATCCCAGACCTCACAAAGAATAGTTCCCAAATCAAGTCTTCATTTCTCATCCAAATACTTCCTGGTGTAGGTAATAAATGCTGTTGCAAGCCCCTACCTTCTGTAGCTACCTGATCTCTTACATTATAAGCAGCTGAAACCATAATCTTTAGTCTTAATCCATTTAAGCTGAAATTTCTATGTCTTTGTCAGCGCGATTCATTTTGGAATGTCATTAACTGAAGTGATTCCATGGCTAAGACTAAGCAGAATATATTTTGAAAAGTGATCTTTTTCTTTCCAAAGCTCTCCTGCCCCTGTGGTGTGTAATGGGGACTTTTGGGTTGCAGGTTTGCCACTTGCTACCTTTAAAAAAAAAAAAAAAAAAAAAAAAAAAAAGGCAAGAAAGGCTGCATCATACCTGTACAATAAGGTTTACTGATATATCTGTCCATGTCGTATTGGCGCTGGTAAAAGGAAAATTGACATTATTGGCAATCGGACTTTTTTTGGCTGATGTGGCCGATAATGTCACTGATAAATGCCACCTGCACGTGTGCACACAGCCCAGCAGCTTGGAGAGCAGTATCTGGCTGTTAAGTCTATGGAGGAGGGGGTGGAAAGGGGCATAGGGGCACAGATTGAGGTCCCCATGGTGAGGGAGGGAGTGGGGCTGGGGCAGGTACTGCCCACTGGGGGG